CCCCAGACGAGCCCGCCCCGTGCCGTGCTCCCTGGCGGGGAGCGGCCCCGCACCCCCCGGCAGAGCGGGCTGAGGCTCGGGTGTTCCCCGCTCTGCTGCCTTGGTTCCTCTCTTCGCCTCAGCTCCTGCAAAGTTCAGAGGCGGTTTGCCTTGAACTCCTCCCGGCTGGTAGCATAAGAGATGTCACGGTTTGTTTAGGGAACCTCACCTTCCTAAGGTTTACTCTGTACGGAAAATCACGCTGTGAAAAGGCAGTGTCCATAAAGGAGACAGAGCAGTCCTGCAACTTTAATTCGAGTAAAGGAAGAGAGGCCACTGGGGCACACACCCGCGGGGCTTTCTCTGCAGAGGTTTCAGAGGGTGCAGCCTCCTTTTATCCTAAACTCCCGGCCGCATGTCGCCCTTTTCCTTTCCCCATCGGCTGATGTAGTAGGAAGGTACAGCCTTCCCGAACCGCCTAACCCATATCTGCCCTTGAACCTGTCATTTTAACCCAAAGGTCAGAAAATCAGGCATGTGCAGACCCTTGTCTGCTTCAGGAGCCAAGCTGTCTAGGCTCTGCAACAAACCTGCTGCCAAAAGTTAATAGAAGCATTAAGACCCAAAAGAGGTTAAGTCCAAGACACCCATACCTTCACCCATCGAGTTGTTTGTAAAGGAATTAGCACACATCTTCCTTCCCAACACCGTCCTCCAGCTTTAAGGTTCAAATCAAAACGTTGCCTCCTGCTTACAGCATGATGAGAAGTCACAAAGTTGCTGCCTTTGTAAACAGAGCAGTACAAAAGTAATCCTAGTGTTAAAGTTGCCTAAAATGTCCTTCTTTTTTTCAAGTGTTCCTTCCACAGCCTACTCTACTGTAACCTGCTTTCATTTCACGATCAGTCAAACCCTCAGTAACTTTTTCCTAACACTGAAATTGAGACTTCGTGACATGATGTCTCTGTTCCAAGCAGATGAAGAAAGGGTACTTAATTTCATTTCCTGCTACCATCTCTAAATAGATAGGTCCAAAGTGGCTCCATTAGTCTGGAATTAGATTCAAATCAACCCCTCCCCAGATTCTTAAGGTTTTTACCCTTGAAGCCCATAGGAATTTGTTTGGTATTTGGCTTAACCGAATGTGTTGTAACCAAACCAATGGTGTGTTTTCCCAAGCACACCATTAAACGTTCACCCAGATTTCCAAAGTCCATCAGTGCTCCTGTAAGGGACACAGTAACATCCAGCAGCATCCATTCGAGCTTTGTGTGAAAAAAAAAAAAAAAAGTTCAACCAAGATCAGGATGTCAAAAGTCAAACACAAAGTACAAACATCACAGAGAAGAGTCTGCACCTTAAGATGTTTGCAGTCTTGGTGGAGGGAATATCTCCACTGAGTATGTGGGGAAAACAGAGATGAAAAGTGATTTTCCCAGTTTAATTCCAGAGGATTTAGGGAGGTCCACAAGTTGCTCTCAGTCCAGGAGTACATTGTCTTCCTAGCAGAGCATGTTTCTTAGCTATTAGACATCTCTTTGTATGTGTTTGGTAATGAATTGGTGAGTTCATGCAAAGAGAGGAAAGGGAAATTGTGTTACTGCTTTATATTTTATGATAAAAAGCCGAGGCTGAAGCCTTTGTGAACAGTCTGCTAATTGTACAATATTACATGTGATTAAGGCTGCTGAACAACTGTCCTCTGTTAAATAGTATTATGGGACAGAAATGCAGTTAAAAGGAGATCACAGTCCAAGACACAAAATCAGTTCAAGAATACTTTTTAATACAGAAACACTTAAAGAAATAGTTTTGCTTACCATGACAAGGAGGTAACTTCCTTCTCTGCTTTCTCAATTCCTTTAAGCAAACTAAAAAAGTTATAAAGCCATCTGAGACATCTTTTTCTCAGACTGAAGCAAGATTTTGTTTCAGATCTACAGAAATCAGCCAAGTTTTTTAAAATGTTCAAAATTAACATTCGAAACTTTTGAAATCACTGTTCACAGCAAAGCTAAGATTTCAACAATCCTTTACCAAGCGAGAGATCTATTCA